TCAAAAATCTGCCCAAGACGGCTCTCATAGTCTCTTACTTAATTAGGGTTTTAATCTCCTTCTTATAAGGTGATTTAACCCTAATTTCGGTCTAATTTTCGAAAAATCCGAAGCCTGGTACGGACGATCTGGATTTGCACGTGGACCGTCTGTTCCAGGTGTAGAACGGACGATCTGCATCATAACGTGGAGCGTCCGTTCCAGACTACGGAACGGACGTACCATGATTCTGGACTGTCGGGCCTGGACCGTCCGGTCTGGACGTTTCGGTCCGTCCGGTCTGGACGTTTCGGTCCGTCCGGTCTGGACTCTTCCGACTCGATTTTTCGTCGTTTTTCTTGTGCATTTCTCCTTCCCTGCGTATGTGACCTTGTAGACTCATTCGATATAGCAGTATAACCCGAAATCTCTATTTCGGATATACAAGTCATAGGCGATCTCTAGCAAGACATTATGACTACCTATCTCGAATAGAGTTTGAAATAGACGACGCCCGTCTATAGTGTGGCCACACATTTCTACAGTCTCGCTCACACGAGGGGGCCTAGCGATATCTCTCTCTTTTATGAGAGGTGCAAATCCCGTCTTAACTATCTACAATCCAGCACATGATTCATTTCGTACCTTATACACGCCTTTATAGTCCTCCTGTTAGGCAGGACGTTTGACGTATTCAAAGTACGCAACTCCTCATGTTGGATTTCGTAGATATCTCAGGTCTTAAGATCCAATCATGGAACCGTCATATGAGATTCAAGTCATGACACACGTCCATGTGACAATCTCATGCGGGTCAATCCAGTATTTCTTTCTCTAACGAATACCTATGATTGTGATCGTATCCAACACCTATGATCATCTCTATGATCATCAATCACACATCATACTAGTCTTATTATATCATTATTCCCACAATGACATATGACTAGTGAGTTTAGTATTGTTCATAACAATACATGGATTTCATAACATATCAAGTATGCAAAACATGTAATGAATAAAACACTCATCCATAAATCATAGCAAGTGTTAATACATCAAATGTATCTAAATAAAGAAGATGTGTGGACTCTTCAAAGAATATCAAAACAAATCTGCAACTTCTTCTGTTGATGCTAACTTTGAAAGTGGAAGTTCTTCTCGAGTTGTTACGAGTGAATATGGAAAAAGATACTGATCTTGAGGTGAGTATTTTAATTTATATATTTGATGTATAAATTTATGTTATAGTTATTTTGTTTAATTTTAACATTTTCGATTTTTATGTTACAGTAATTTTAAAAAAATGATGATAATCCAGAAGTTGAAGAAGAAAAATGTAAGAGATCGTATTTGAACATATACTTGGAGGAACAGAAGGTGAAATTAGCGAATTGTCCAAGTTTTGATGTCTTAGGCTATTGGAAGGAGAATCGACATCGACTACGTGATTTAGCATACATGGCTTGCGACATATTAACTATTCCTATAAACATGGTGGCTTCGCAATCATCATTTAGCATTGATTCTAGGGTTTTAAACAATATAGAAGTTAACTTCTCTCTTCAAATGTGTAAGCTTTAATTTGCACTCGTTCGTGGATAAAAAGATTCGAACTCGCTATAACAAGTAAGTTTTACCTTTTTATTTGTTATTACATAATGTTAATTCTCTCAAGTTTTTTAATTTGTTAAGTTGTAGCTTTGGAAGATGATAGAAATGTTATTATAAATGCTTTCGAGGCTTTAACTATATAAAAAATTGTTGGAAAATTCATCAATAAAGGGCTAAACACAATTGTTCAGTGAATGACTCGGGTTGAACTCGAAGATCCTGTTTCCATATGACAACTAAGCCGTTTACTCCTTGTCAACGCAACAATACTAACTTCCATCAACCAGTATTGTTCACATGAAGAGCTAGATTACTCCAGTGGTGTGGTACTAGCTCAGTTGTCACCAATACAAATACATGTCCTCACCAACGTAACAGTACCGACTCGGTCTTCACCACTGTCTACGTGGCTCATCGGTACTCAATAACAAACATTGACTCTATCGTCAAACGACACTGACTACGCGATTCACTGTATTCCTGACCATCATAGTTATACTGACTCTTTCGTCAACCAGTATCCACTATGTGAATCACAATATTATATGGTACTGACTCATTTGTCCACCGACACTAGTATGATACTCACCCCACCAATACACATTATTGATTTGTTTGTCCACCGGTACTGGCCACACAACCCGCACAATGGTAACTCATTCATTCAACGGTACTAACTCACGACATCATATTAGTACTAACTCTTTCGTTCACGGGTACTATTACGTGACGCAATTCATGAAATAACAGTGAACTCATGTATATAGGAAGTACTTTTGTATAGTTTTAGTTGATGAAATACATCCTTTACAAACAAAAAAGAAAAAAAAATGTAGGAAGCTTGTTGTTTAAAAAAAACAGAAACGAGAAAGAATTTTTTGATGAAATGAGGCAATTGTTGGAAAGAGTAAGTATAGTGGCAAGACCATTAGATATATGTATTAGTAATGTTAATAATAAATTTGAATCGTTTCAACTAACACGTTCGCATTAAGGCAGATATTTCTTATTTTATTCCGGACATATATCTCTTTAGAATTAATTAGGATATGGTTCCTATAAAAACAAAATCTTTAAAAATCATTTTGATATCTGAGTTTTTAGATATTTATAAATTATAATCCAATTAATTTGATTTTAAAAATTGTGTTTTACACACAACGTGTATAATTATTTAGGGGTGTATATATATATATATAATGGCTATGGCTTTTATCACGTTTGTATTTCATTTTCTTTTTATTTTTTCGTAGGTAACGTAAAAAAAAATAAATACAGAACCCAAAACGGAATATGATTACAGGGTTGCTTAATTTTAGCTCATTTGGGCTATTGGCGGGCTCGGACCAGCCCATTTGACATCTCTGAAAAAATACGGTTGTTCATCTCCTTTCAAAGTGCGTAGACCGCTAGTTAGAGTAGTAATTTGCTGAGTATGCGCCTTCGATCATTGTCTCACTGTGATATGTTCGTTATCCATACATGACATCCATGCAAGTCGTGTGGGGGATCAAACCCTAATTTCCTGGCTAATTGTAGCCACATCTCCGAGCTATAGGAGTATCGAAAGAACAAGTGGCCATGTGCTTCCTCCTCGCTGTTGCAAAGCTTACAAGTTACATCCTGTGTAATTTTCCATCTTACCATACAGTCTCTCGTTGATAGCTTTCCCTACATAGTCATCCAATGTACAAAAGTGTTCCTAAACGTTACTTGCTAAAACCAATACATTCATCCTTGTCTATACTTGACTATACCTCATAAGAGTGGGGGAGAGTAAGTAGGTACTACTTCTGCAAAAGGATATTGTTTGCAGAATCCCTCGTGTCCTATAGTGTAGGAGCATACTTCGAATCATCTGATCCACTCGGGTACCAAGAGTTGTGTTGTACGTAGTCGAACCGTTCGCAAAAATACGATTGTTCCTCTTCTTCCAAAGTTCGTAGATCGCTTGCTGGAGTATGACGATTTTTTAGTGTTTGTGATGTTCTTAGCAAAAAGAAAATTCTGATTCATACAAAATAAAATCAGAATTTTCTTCTTACTACGAAATATCACGAAACTAGAAAATCGACATGGTATCAGAGTCTGATTCGACATCGCAATAGTACAAACTCTTTCGTTCACCGATACTATTACGTGACACAATTCATGAAATAGTATTGAATTCGTGTTTGTAGGGAATATTTTTGTATAGTTTTAATTAATGAAATATACCCTTTACCAACAAAAAAGAAAAAAAATGTAGGACGCTTGTTCTCCGTTCAAACATATCCTTAACCCTTCTGGATGTGGGTTCCAGTATTACAAAAAGTTTGATTTGTTGCTCTTGTATTCACTTCGATCTAGAGCGTCCGATAAACACCAATTTTCTACCGAAGTGGCTTCAATAACTCGTGTGTTTAGCGGAATTTCTGAGAATCTTCGTATCCCTCAGTCCTATATATTCAATCAACGGTCCAAATTCTGTACAACTGTCGTAATAGAAAAATGTTCTTTTCCTATTCTCGATTGTGCAGTGAATGAATCCCCTTACCCTTTTATGCATCTTTATTAATTTCCTCACGTTCAAAGAGAGTCGAGGGGTCGGGTTAAAGCTCCAGTATGGAAGACGTGATAGTGTTCAACATCCAACTTGAACTCGTGTATTTAAGGATTACTTTTGTATAGTTTTAGTTAATGAAATACACCTTTAAAAGTTAATTGTAGGAAGCTTGTTATTTAAAAAAAAAAGAAACGAAAAAGAATTTTTTGATGAAATGACGCAATTGTTGGAAAGAATAATTATAGTGGCAAGACGGTTAAGTACATGCATTAGTAATATTAATAATAAATTTGAATTGTTTCAACTAACACGTTCACAATAAGATAAATATTTCTTATTTTATTCCGGACGTATATCTCTTTAGAATTAATTAGGATATGGTTCCTATAAAAACAAAATCTTTAAAAATCATTTTGATATCTGAGTTTTTAGATATTTATAAATTATAATCCAATTAATTTGATTTTAAAAATTGTGTTTTACACACACCGTGTATAATTATTTAGGGGTGTATATATATATATATAATGGCTATAGCTTTTATCACGTTTGTATTTCATTTTCTTTTTATTTTTTCGTAGGTAACATAAAAAAAAATAAATACAGAACCCAAAACGGAATATGATTACAGGTTTTCCCGGATATTCTTCTTATATTCCCGCGTCTGCTCCTCCTCTTTGAATCCCACCCACAAAGGCAAATCAAAACCCACGTATCAGCCACAACCGTACGATCGTACCCCCAGAATCAAATCCAACGGTTTACAGATCACTGGACGAAAACGGAACCAGAAAGGAATAAAGATTCTTGATTAAAAAGAAAAGGCCAGAGTAATATTCCATTGGCATCAATATCAAAATCCCATAATCCTCCGTTTGTATAAATACCCGGTTCCTCTGCACTGTAATTAAATCCAACCCACAAGCAATCCAACCCTCCAGAAAGAAGAAATCCCAGGTTTTTCCTGTTCTTTCTCGGGAAAAAATGGCTGGAATCAACAATAGGAAGAACAACATTGTGGCGATCTTCGACTTCGACAAGACAATCATCGACGTCGACAGCGACAACTGGGTCGTCGATGAATTGGGTTTCACTGATTTGTTCAATCAGCTTCTCCCAACCATGCCTTGGAACTCTCTCATGGTTCGTCCCTTCTTCTTCTTCATACTCTTTTTTCTGATTCGGCTTCCGGGTTTCTTTAAACTTATGAATCTGAAAGGATTGTCGTGAATTCGACCAAACCCACGAACAAATTGTGGATGACCCTTTTGGTTTATTGACATGAACAGGACCGGATGATGAAGGAGCTCCATGAACAAGGCATAACAATCCATGACATTAAACGAGTCCTCGAAACGATTCCGATTCATCCCCGAGTCGTCCCTGCCCTCAGATCAGCGCATGCACTTGGGTAACTCTCGTCGTTACTATTATTAATCGTCGGATTCTGGTCTCCTGTTCCTTAGACAACGCCGACCGCTGATTACTGATCCGAGATTTTTGGGTCTGGTTCCAGATGCGAGTTGAGGATAGTGAGCGACGCGAACACGTTTTTCATTGAGACGATTCTCGAACACCTCGAGATTAAAGACCTTTTCTCTGAGATCAACACGAATCCTGGATTCGTCGACCAACATGGCAGATTGAGAATCTCACCTTACCACGATTTCACCGAATCCTCACATGGCTGCTCTCGTTGTCCTCCCAACATGTGCAAGGTACAATTTGTTTTTCTCAAGAGATCTTCCTCTCTCAATGGATTTAGAAAAATATAATGTTCGAGAGATTTCGCACATGGCCGAGAAACTGCGTCCGTACAGTCCGAGAAACTGCGCACAGGTCCGAGAAACCTCGAACATGCTCGGAAATTTCCGTTCATCCGAGAATTTTCTCCGACCATGACCCTCTATTTCGCCTCTACAGTCCGAGAAACTCCGAATGGTCGGAGAAATTCCGTTCATGACTGAGAAAAATCCGCACAT